CTTTTTATTGGTTTTGCTGGACACACCATTTTAGGTCTTTCTAAAATCAGGGGCTGGCAATGTATGGTTTCGCAATATATTCAAATTGTTGATTGAAAGAATATCAAGCCTTGATCTTGTTAGCTTGCATGTACTGCATATTGAGGATGAGAACACACACACAAAGTAAAAAAGAAGGGATGAGAATTGAGAACAACAGAATTAACCATACTTCCAATTTCAATATATAGCTCCTATATTTAAAGTGGATCATTATTACCACTATCGGATAATGTTTCTCTGAAAAAATCATACGAATTTTCTATCTTTCGTCTTATATATGTATAACAAAGGAAATTTTCAATTAAACATTTTCCCCCTCTGCTCCTAGGTGACACATCTAATTTTAGAGAACTTTTTTGCATTGCTCCAAGGCTTAACAATTTCTCCGTATTATGGTTGATCAATTTCTCTCGTCTTATATGCATATTTTGATATTTGCTTTTTTTTTTTTTTTAATAAAGAAAAGTTTCAGAAGTTAGTTAACCACAACGACATTGCGCGCCTTCGTTGGCCGTCCTCTCCATTCCCCCCGCCTCAATCTTACGAGTCTACTAATTCTCCGCAATTTTATCTTCTTGGGTTTCTTTTTATTTCCTTGTTTCTGCCCCAAAAATGCTGAATTACCCCAGGCCAAGGGTGGTTCGTTTCATGATCCTGAGGTAATCTTGCTTTATTTTTTGGATTTATTGTACATGAACATTTCTCCGTGAGCTTATATCCTGTATAAATTTTTATCCTTTCATCCAATTGACGATGGTGGAATCCTTTATTATGCAACAAATTCTTCTTCTTTTATTTTGCTGTTTTCTTGTTCCCGTATCTGTTTTCATGCTCCAAGCCTCTCGGCGGCCAGCTGGTGAATGGAAGTGCAGCCATTTATTAGAAGTTACTACTACTAATACAGAATCTCCGTGTACCTGCGTCGAGAAGGAAACATAACTGGCTCAGGAAAATGCAATATGGGGCTTAATAAATAACCGAAACAGATGAGATGCAAATATGTAATCATGCAATGAGCGGAGAACAGGTTATGCAGGTGTGAGTGAGGAAGAAACTAGAGATATCCAGGAAGATGTCAAAACTTCTGCGCGAAGAAGAGATGCACAATTAGATAGGCCGACGATGCTATAGGAAGTTATAACCAAGGGCTTGAACCAATAATGCGAATCTGCTATCCATCATTTTGAGGTTTGAGCTCAGGGCAAAACATTGATAACATAGACTAGATTGGAAATTCATGTCCTTAATGCCCTAGGGAGGATGTAAACACCTATCCAATGCTCTGGGCACAAAGATTCAAGTAAATCCCAAACATTTATGATAGAAGGAAAGATACAGCTGCATATGACAATTGAGAATTATTCGCCACATGTTATCTGTTCAGCAAAAGTTTCGCTTGGCTAGTAAAGGGCATCGCGTCATTATGTTGAAATTCTAAGACGACAATCATCAATAGTTTAATCTTTACTTCAAGTTGAATTAGAAAGGGAATGTTTACAGAAACTTCTAGCTATGAACTGCTTGTAGAGTTTTACAGTTGATTTTGATTATGTACCATGTATCTTGACCTTCCAAATGCATATTCCGCAGATTTTCTCCTTGTAGGAAGCTTTCGTTGAAGTTGATTCTGAATATGAACGTATATCGTGGCTTACCAACTGCATCATTTGTTCAACATAGTGCCTTATAACATCTTAATCCCGTGGATTTTCTCTTTGTAGGTGGCTTTAGTTGAAGGTTCAGCTGTCCATTCTCGATGGGACTTTGCTGGACTAAGGTAAATTATTGGAGTTAAGCTATGTTCAATATTGGCTGTTCTTTTTATCCCCATCTTTACCTGATACAGTTGCCTTCAGCTTTTTGGGTGCCGGCTGTCACATGCTTTTACTTCCCGGTGAAAAAAAAAAAAAAAGTCACCAACCTTTTCAGCTGATGAGCATGCCTTAAGAACGTATTCACGGACGACTGGGACTAGCTTCAGTTTCTATTTCAAGTTTCTATTTCAAGCTTACTGTGTCATTGCCTTCCTTTGCCCTATAACTTATTTATTTTATGCTCCTTGAATGGAAATTATTTGTTTTATCTATATCAATTGGGACTTGTAAAGTATTATGATCCATGCAGTTAAATACAGGAAATGATGCACATTCTCAATTGCCTACTGCAGAGCTCGCCTACAGAAATGTCCATCTCGTAACCACTGTGGATAAGTGGGAAGAAAAGTTGTCAGAAGCGAACAGGGATGGCAAAATAGTAAGTATCTCCACTGTTTGTCTTCTGTACTGCTGCAAAAAAAAAAAAAAAACATTTATCTGTGAATTCTAGCAGCCTAAGTTTGGACGTTGATTGATCTTGTGTTGTGGAAGAAAAGGAAAAGGAAAAAAAAAACAGTAAAAGCATGACTAATTATAATGGCCATCAAAGCCAAGACAACATTTTACCATTTTTTTTCCCCAAAATTTGGCCAGGTGAATTAATTAAAACATTGCACTGAAAGTGTTCCATCTGGTAATGACTCGCAAGCCAGCATGATATATTAATGAATATGAGTGTGAATCCAGTTCATGATTAATTTCTTCATGGATTCTTGAAAACTGTCACTTTAAGTAATTTCATTTTTTCCCTTTATGATGTATCTGTCCATGTTGATTCTTGATTCGAAATATAGAAAGGAAACACGTTATATGAGTTCAGAATTCTGAATCCACACTGCTCATTCCTTCACACAACTTTAATGTTTGATACTGTCCTATCCTATAGGTTGTGGTCAATTTCAGTGCATCATGGAGCAATCCTTGTAGATCCATTGCACCTGCCTACAATGAACTTGCAGACAAATATCCCTTCATGCTATTCTTGACAGTGGATGTAGATGAGTTAGCCGTAAGTCAATCTTTTTTTCTTTTTTTTTTTTGCATTACTTCCTTTGGAAGAAGGGATCAACATCTTAAAGCATAAGTTTAGCTTTGCTCCTTCTGATCAGATGCCACATATACACAGACACAGATCATATACAGACACATGCACATACACTGGATATCGTCCATCAAAAACTACTAAAATTTGATATAGTTTGGAACAGGAGCTCAGTAATTCGTGGGAAATCAAAGCCACTCCTACGATTTTCTTCCTCAGAGAAGGCAAAATGGTAGACAAACTCGTAGGTGACAACAAACAAGATCTCCAAAAGAAGACAATGGCCATTGCTGAATCTTGTTCAGATCTGACAACCCCATGATTGAGTTGCCTGTCTTCCGAATGTCTGAGGCGTATATCAATTTTCTTCAGCAATTTTGATACTCTAATCTTTGGTACTGCAAAGAACATCACTTTAGTTCAAGTAGAATAACTTTCCATGGGAAAATGAAGATATTGGGAAGAGGAATGAAGATTTTTACAAGAAACTACTGTCCAAGGATGATGATGTACCAAACAGTAATTGAAACCCTTTTCATTTTTGTTTTATCTTCAAGCGATATTACTGCATCATAAAGTTATTCATTAACATAACGTGAGACGAGCTCCCATGTACATATCCTACTTTTTTTTTTCCCCAAGCGGTATTGACTTGAAGCTGCTAAAGCGGAACTGCAGCAAAAGAGAGAGCAATGGAAGGGGAAAGTTTATCTCGAAAATCGGATCTCAGAGATGGAAATGCCAATCCTAATGCTCTTGCTAATTAAGGGATTTACTTGGATTTTATTCATTGCATATTTCTGTTGTTTAACATGATCTTGATGGCGGAATTTCAAAACCTCCTGGGTGAAATTAATGCTTACTATAGTCTGTAAAACCACCACCATTCCAGTTTCTGGAATCAGGTCACAGAGCATCGCACGAAGGGTGAATTTCACCATGTTCTCCTATCAAGGCAATGGATTATTAATTGTTTGGAACTTTGGAGGAGATTTTCTGGATGCACTTTTGAAAGACGAGCTTGCCCTTGTCCCTGTTTGCAGAAAACGAACTCGTATGGGTTTGTGTCCCAAGCCTCGCATTTTCTCCTTTCTTCATCTGTTGCGAACATGCACGAATTGAGGTCGCTAAAGAGCGCCTTTCTTATCTTACAACGGATTGTCGCCCGAATCTTTTGACAGTTTCCACTGACTGTCAATGCGACATATGAGCCGGATTTTCATAAATTCAGAATTAATTTATTTAATTTGTAACACTTTTGGACTTTCGGCTATGAGTTTCGAAATGCTAAATGTGATAATCATACTCAACTCATAAACTATTCAGATTTTGAGCATTATACGGACTTAACCCAAGTTCACTTATTACTCTTCAATTTTCTTAATATAATTACTATAACTATTGAATTGTAAAACTAATTTAACATTCATAGGACTACGACATTAAAACTAAATGAACAAGTAATAGGTTTTAAAAAGTACATAAATCAATAAATTTTCAACAATATTTATATCTAATTCGTTCAAAGTACATGAAAAATAGTAATAAAATATGTGATTATAAACCAATACATCTTCAAAGATTGGAACTTCTTCATAGTTTTGTGACTTGAATCCAAACATGTTTGATGATTTGTGTTTCTAGACCAAAAATAAATCAATCAATATTATGCCAACATAAAAATTTACTCAACCAATATGAAAAGTTGAAAATTTTGGTTATGCATTACCAATGTTGCGAACGCCAGTAATTTTTCTTTTAGGTACAAACAAACGCCAATAGTTTAGTCAGCTTCACAGCCACGCAATGCAAATACGAAGTTGTGACTAAAGTAAGCCATGCATAAATAACTAACTACGAAGTTTACGTCTCGTAACATTCAATCGAGGCCTTCTTGCCGTCAACAATGTGACAACTAATGACCTCTTGCAACACCACACGAGGAACACTAATTTCTTGGTAGGTGCAAATATTTTCTATAATTACCACTACACAAACAAAATATGAAAAAAAAAAAAAAATCACTCGGGATTCTTCAGAAATACTACCTCCAGTGACGAAGAAGAACACGACAAAGGAGCACTGGAGCTTACACACAGCAGAGCCCATGAAGGGGCCAACTAACACTTCAAACTACGGTTTATCTTATAGATTGTAGGAATGCAGATGCACGCCTCACATGGTAGGAACCCTGGAAGGGAATGCAACTGCAGGCCTCACATGGTTGGAACCCTGGAAGGGATTCTCAGCACATTTTGGACTAGCAGGTTTTAAATACCAGAGCCCATGCAGGGCAGGGGCCGACTAACAAGTCATATTTATTACTTCTCAAGATTGTAGAAATGAAGCTGCAGGCCTCACATAAGTGAAACCCTGGAAGGGATTCTCAGCACATTTTGGACTAGCAGCCGGAGAATCTACTACAGGCATGTTGGTCCAGCACTCATCAAAGTTGGCAATGCAATGTTTGCCGGCAACCTCTGGAAGAAAACTTGGTTGAATTTCGCGAGCCTCCAATTTCTTCCAGTTAATAGACCTGAACCACTTGTGGCCTTTTATCTCTTCACTACCTGTTGGACCACTTCCAAGCCGTCTGCTTGTGTCCTTCTGCAATAGCTGAATAAAAGAATAGAAAACACTAATTAAACCACACATACTGTACAATTAGCAATGAGAAAAGCATGCCCATCTGAATGCATTATTCGTGAACGGTATTATCACGCAAGCAGATAAAATAAGGATAAATTTCCCCAATCCCAAATACAACATAAATGTCGATAAATTTCCCCAATCCCAAATGGACCCAGTTTTTTTTTTCTTTTTTTCTTAAATTTCTCTTGCCCTCTCTTTCCAAAATCTTGTAGAGAGTAATTCATCTCAGTATAACAACTTATTTCATTGATATGAAATTACAAATGCTATCCAGGCTCAAGTAAAACTATAAAAATCAAGGGCACCTTCAGCCAACTTAAACAGAAACTTTAACAAGTGTAAGAGAACAAGGTTATTTACCCCTTTCAACAATGAATGCACATCGCTTGATAGAAAAGCTGGGAGCTTGACTTTGTCCTTTAAAATCCTCTGCTGAATTTTCTGTCGGTTCCCACTAACAAAAGGCGGCTGCAAACACAGTAATCAGAAGTAAGACAACGATAATAAAAATATTAAACATTTGGAATTGGCAATGGCAATATAAGGTGTTAGCAACCATTTGGGTTGGTTATAGGCTTCATGGGTAAGCAAACAGTATTATTACTATTTTACACAAAAAATCAATGCAATGCAGGAATTGCATGATATCACCTGCCTTCCACTTGGAAATGAGTATCCTGATGATGATAGCAACAGAAGAACAAATCAAAGGAAAAGAAATTGATAATTGTGTGCCATGATGCTCCATCAGACAATAACCGCATGATTTAACAATAACAACAAGCATTAAGAAACAAATTTCTTCACTTGCATACATAATTAAACAGGGACAAATCAATGGGAATAAAATCAAAATCACCCATTTTATTCCTCATAAAGAATCACATCTATGCAAATTTTAGTTTCCCATTCTGAAAGTTGGATATAAAGACTCTCAAACTAATTGTGTCACTTTGCAAGATTAAATTCTAAACGAAGCAAATGCTAAACAGTTATGGCTGCTATCAACTTAATGCAGAAGGGAAAAACTAACTAAAATGGTGATTTCATCAATTTGTCATAAACTGAAAAAACACCAGAATGAAACAAAGATTACCACAAGCATTCTCAAGACCAATGTACAAATCATTGCATCCACAAAATAGCATGGCAACTTACATAAGTTCTTTGTCCACATGGAGGATGGCCACATCTTTGAATTTCAAACTTAAAATTTTAAAGAAAGTTGTCTAACGTATATAAATACACTAACCTTTCCTGTTAGCATCTCATATAACAAAATTCCTACACTCCACCAGTCAGCAGCCTTATCATGACCTTTCCCAACAACAATTTCAGGTGCCATATATTCCACTGTTCCACACATGGAGTTGGATCTGGTGTTCTCATCAAATTGCTTGGCAAGGCCAAAATCAGTTAGCATCACCTGGATGCAGCACAGGGAAGAAAACTTATAAGAGATGTCACAAACAACAGCGCATGAGCATATGGCTCAATAAGTAACTCCAACACAGAAAAGAAAATAAAAACACAGATGTCTTACATGTCCCTCTGCATCCAGAAGTATATTTTCAGGCTTTAGATCCCTGTGCATGATTCCATTTGCATGTAGATGAGATACAGCAGATACAATCTCAGCTGCATATATTCGAGCCAGATCCTCTCTGAACAGATGCTAGTGTTAGACAGAAAACTCTAAACATTCTCACACTGTATAATAGAAGTGATTTCCAGTACCTGAATAAGCCTTGGCGATACAATTGAAAGAAAAGGTGGCCTCCATTGACAAAATCAAGCACAAGGTACAGTCTATACTTAGTCTACACCAAAATAATGGGCCATCATTAGAATTAGATGGCCAAGTGAACCCAAGTGAAAGAAAGAATAATTCTATTCAATGAAATAGTTGGCCAAAATCTGTAGTCTTATAATAGTAGGAAGATGCAGTATATGTACATAGACTATCAACTAATAAAAGTTCAAGAAATAGTATAGGAACAAATGCAATGCGACAGTCCACAACTGGGACACAGTTACGGATGACTCTAAGTTCACACATAACCAAAGAAAAAATATATTACAGGTTTATCTGCCAATCACTTTAACTTTAAAGACAATATCTTTCCAACCTTTATACTTTGAGCTACTCAAATTTGGCAAATGTTGTGCCAATAATCTGCCAAGTAACTTTGTTTCTCTGACTCATCATAGCAAAAACAACATTTATCTTGATTCATCCAATTAATCAAGCAAAAAACAAAGTATAACATAAAGTGAATCCTAAAAAATGGATGAAAAGCGATTGAATTCTTTAAGTTTAACCATAACCAGACAGTTATTTAGGAAATATTAACTAAAAAAAAATTTAATCATTTGAAACATCAATTTCCAAACACCTCTTGTGATCTACATATTTTTTTCCTTTAAATTTTTGACACTGACAATATATGAGCTAACACATATATCCTAAATCAAACAATACATGAGCTAACACATATCACAAATCAAACGGATCAAACGGTTTGGGATCTGAACCAGGATATCTCACATTTGCAACCACCATCCAAGCTCATACGAATACAAAAGAAATCCGAAAAGTTTCAAATACAAGAGTTGAAAATTTGTGGTTTCCAGTATGTTTAAAGCATCCAATTTGAAGTAAATCAGGAGCAATTGTCATGCTGTTGCGTCACACTTGCTTCTTTCTATATAATCATTAGCAAAAGTAATTGCTTATTAAAATCGCACCCCAGCAATAAGAAGTTTCAACCATAGTCTCTATTAACATGTTATTAGGGATAACTACTTTTGCAATTTACTCCAAGCATTTTATACACCAAGAGGCGTACACACACACATATATACAAAATTGACAAATCATTTAAATACGTAAATCCTGCATTGCTCACTAGTTATAAATAGCAATCCATCCCAATTGAAAATGGTGCTTTTTCATTTTGGCTTCCATGTTAAATTCTTAATGTCTATGTCTTAGACAAGTATATCCATTTTGGAATACTAATCATTACGTTAAGTTCCAAGTCAACAAGTGAATGATTACCAAGTAACAGAACATGTGTTTAAAAAAAAAACTTAATTAGTCCACAGATATGGTTCCGTGGTCAAACACCAATAAAAAGATTGACATCAATACCTGGAAAGAGTATCTAAGCTGAACAATGAAGGGATGATCAATTTTTGTCAATATATCCCTCTCAGCTTTCATATACTCAGCATGATTCTTCTCCACAATCTTATCCTTTCTCATGACCTTCATTGCAAAAATCTCTGATGAACCAAGCTTCCTTACCTGATAAACTTTTGCAAATGCACCTTGGCCAACAACCTTCAAAACTTCAAAGTCCTCAAGTCCAATCGCACTTAATGGCACGCCATCATCTTCGATAGCTTTCTTTAGAATAGAACTTTCAAGAGATAATTTCTCAAAACTTCCTTCAGCCTCTCCATTAACTCGCTCTACAACTTCCAGTGACTCCTCACTCTCATGTAGTGTGAGCTTGCTGAGCTTGAAAGCTTGACTAACACAATTTGTGGGACCCACCAAAGAATGGGAGCGGCTGTAAATTACATCTGGGTCGTCAAATGTTAACTCGTTTGCATCAGGAGAAGCAAAAACATTTATTGGATTCTCAAAGGTCAGGTTTTGAGGTCCTTGAGTTGGTAGAGGACCAAATACGTCAGCGAAGTCCAGATCAACTGGATCTTCCGAAAGGACATCAAGAGGTCCCACTGGAAGAAACACGAGATCATTGAATGGCTTTGTCAAGGCATTCCCAGCCAAAGTTGGAAGCCGAGAGGAAACCATGACCACAACAAGGCAGGAAAGGGATAGGGACAGTGACACGTACGGTCGACTAATTTCAAACTTAATAACTATAGAAGAATCTGCCTTGGAGGTAGAACGAGAGTTGAGGATGAAGGACAGCGAACAATAGCCTTGAACAAGAGGAAATTCATAAATACGACAGTGATTCCGAGAAATCTAGGAAATAGGCAAATCAAAATAAAGAAAAGGAGATTCTTCTTGTTTCCCACTTTACAGGAAACAGTTGATGCAGCAGTGCTTCTTGAATTCATGAAGATCAGGCCAACAAGCTGTGACTCAAAGACAAAAGAGCAAAAATCAGGAACAGAAATGCAGCAAAAAAAAAGGCAAGAAAGATGCTGACATAAAATGAAGGATAAGATTATGGACTTCACTAAATACAGAGACAAAGGCCCCAATCCTTCCAAAAAATATGATTAAAAGAAAACCAAAAAAGGTATGAAAGCCACCAACGGAAGCAAAATATAGTTCCCACTGAAGAGCATAGAGAGGCTTCATTATTGAAAAAGACCGATGGCAATGTTCCATTGCTAATAGCTAATCACATAAGCACCAAAAAAAATAATTACGTTACATGCGGCAAATTCAGATCAGCAACCAGAACAACAAAAATAAATAATTCCAGTTTAAAACCATAAAGTTCCCAGGAGTAACAAAGATCTATGCATGAAAATTCGGTTACTCAAAAGTATCAACCAACCAATTTAATAAACAAATCAAATCTACAGGAATCAACGGAAACCCTAAGCGGACGAGTCTATATCCGAATTTTATTTTCTTCCCCAAAGGAAGACGACTTGCAAAAACGACTCAACCAGTCAATAAACAGGTAAATTGAACAGAAATAGAGGAAATTGGAGTGGAATTTTACCTGGATAGGAGATTGCAGAGGGAACAACAACTCTGGAACGGAGCTAAAGCGGAGAGGAGAAGAAGAATAACGACAGAATAATAAAGGAATAAAACGTCGCGTCGCCGCTGCTTGTAATTTGTTTACTTTTGCAGGTAAAATTAGGGATAATATCAGAAACCTCCACTGAGGTTTCTCTTAATATCACATGGCACCTCTAGAGTTTTAAAAAATCACTTATCTCTCTTACTTTTATTATTTGTGTAACAAAACTTTTGAAAATCCTAATCTACCCTTCAAATTATTAAATAAAAATACTTCTAAATCACTTTATTTACTTCAACAAAACCATCACCTAGAAAATAATCTCTAGTAGTGCTACCATATTATAATGCTATAGTCCATAAAAATATAAATTTAAAAAATTAAAAGATATTTACAAAGAAATGCACTTGACTAATTTAATTATATATATTCAAAATCAATTTCTTATAAACTTTATATTTTTTCTAGTTTCTTCTCAATTCATGCCAAAATCTTTAAATTATACGACTAATCATTACAAAAATCAACTCAAAATAAATAAATAAATAAATTATATGTCACTCTATCGCAATCATAAAAGGCAAAAGATAAATAAAATTTAATTTATTATAATTTACAAATAAAAATTTATATATTCATTCAAAAAAATAAGTAAGAGAGAATGTTGTATAAAAAAAGAAATAAAAGAAAGTGATTTTTGTTTCTTTTCTTTTTAATTTTTGAACTCCATTTATTTGATATGTAAATTATGTATCAAGTGAGAATTAATATAATTATTTTGCAATTACTAAGGGAGGTAAGTATTTTTTAAAACTTTAGGGGTGTCAAGTGATATTAAAAGAAACCTCAAGGAGGTTTCTGATATTATCCCCGTAAAACTAATAAGTTGTGGGGCCGGGTGGCTACGCGGCGCATTAGGAGTGGTGTTTCGCCAATCAAGGGGGCAGGGCAGCTACGGGAGGTCAATTTTGGCTTGCCAACCAATGACGTACGTTTCCGCACCGCGGTATATCCTTCCTTCTTTCTGATCCGAAGCTCAATTATTTTGATTCGTTCCGGATTCGTTATTTTATTCTAGTAATTTTTCAAAAAGGGCAAATCATGAGATGGTGGCCCATGCAGGTCTCGAACCTGCGACCTTCGCGTTATTAGCACGACGCTCTAACCAACTGAGCTAATGGGCCGCTTGCGTCAATGAGTTACAAATAATTGGAGTGAGGTTTTATAAGTCTGTCTCTATCAACTGACGATGCATTATTAGCAAACGACTGAGGATAGTGTTGGTGGTTGTATGTATCACGCGTGCTATTTAACGTTTCCAGGGCAGTTATTAGAAAAGCCCTGAAGCCTCACCATTTGGTTTTTGATTTGAAATAGTATTGACGGCAGAAATTAGTCAGGAAGCCATGATAGAGTAGCACAGCCACCTTTACCCAAACAAGCCCGTGAGTTGTCTTCAAGTCTTTCATTTTGTTAATTTTTCTAAAGAATTATTAAGCCTTGTTTGGATTGTGATTTTTTTTTACATAAAATATATATATATATATTTTTTTTACATTTTTCTTAATTACATCCCTCCTCGATCACCTTTCCATATCATCTATATCAAATTACTATTTCTAAAAATAGCAATCCAAACGGACCTAAGAAGTTTCGCAATTGGGAAAATGCCGGTTTTCATCCCCAAACTTTGGGATAAGGATACATTTTGTCCCTCAACTTTTGGGCACGACACATTTGATGTTTGAATTAATAATTTTTTACCAATGTCATCCTCAAACGACAATTTAGCCAATTTTAACGGAACTGGTCACGTGAAAGTCACATGACCGTTAAGTAAACTTAAATCACATTTTTAACAAAGCCTACCAGTTTTTCATAAAGAGCTGGTATGTTATGGGCAATTTATTATTATTTTTTTTAACTTTCACATATTTCATTTATGTTAAATACAAAACATACTAGTTCAATAAGTAAAAAAATGTTATGAATAACTCAAAGTTTATACTTTTAATAGTTCAATGGGTAAAAATATGTTATGAATAATTAAAGGGCCAAATTTTGACTATTCAAATAGTTCAAGGGCTGCTCAAATAATTTGTTCTTATATAAATAGTAAAAGTATGCAAAGTATATGTAATTTTTAAATTTTGAGGGGAGCTTTTTGTAACTATTAAAAATCTCAAGGGATGTTTGTGAAATTATCCCTTTTCATTTTTCATGTTGATTATTTCTTTTCTTGCCTATTTTTCATTTTATCCTTATTTTTAGCTTTTTCCCCCCTTACGTACAGGACACAAGTGTTTATTGATGGATGTTTAGTCAAAATTGCCAAAAATTAACTGATTGCATGCAGGAAACTAGTAGGTTTTGTTAAAAATGTGATTTAAGTCTACTTAACGGTCATGTGATTTTCACGTGACCAATTTCGTTAAAAATTGGCTAAATTGCCGTTTGAGGATGACATTGGTAAAAATTTATTAATTCAGACATCAAATGTGTCGTGCCCAAAAGTTAGAGAACGAAATGTGTCCTTACCCCAAAATTTGGGGATGAAAAACGGCATTTTCCCTTTCGCAACTACACACACACCCCATCTCCCCGAGTGGGCATAAAATTATTTTCTGATTGTATGTAAACTAGTAATTTAAGTTCATTAGGTGAAATGAAATGAAATTCCTTCTCCAAGTGCATGCCCTCCCCCACCGTTCAAAATGACTAAGTCATCCATGATTTAATTAATGCTAGTCAATTCAGCTCCCAAAAAATAATAAACGAATTTTTTATTTAAAAAAAAGAAGAAGAAGAAGAATAGGGCAATGGGTTGAATTTTAAAAATAGCATTTGAATATGGAGATAGAGAACATGTAAATTTTATGTTTTTTTCCCCCTATTTTTCGGTGATGTAATTCATTCATTCGTCTAAAATAAAATGGGAATACTGCTGGATACGGCATCAAAGGGCAGCGACGGCCTTGACGAGAAAACCGAAGAGGGCGAAGGGAGCAGAGAAAAATGGGCTATGATCACTTTCCAAAGCGTAGACAGCAGAGGGCGGCCATCTCTTGATCATTGCTTCTTGTTGTGCCGGCTTCACCACTCGATCGTACGCCGTTTTGATGTAAATCCTGGGCACTACTGCATCTTCCCGGCTCTCACTCCCTTCTCCTCCTTCTTCTCCTTTGAATCGAGCTGAAGTGAGTGCTCGAATGGGCCCGGGACGCACCAACATTGCTGCTAATGTGGAATCCTGGTCCATGCATCATCAACAATTTCATATTTTTTTATTTTTGACAGTTTTTGGCTTTTTGATTAATATCTCTAAGGAAAAAAAAACCCCGCCAGCCATTTTGATTCTTAAGAAAGTTCAACTTTTTAGCAGAAAAAATAATATAATATATTTACCTCTTCGGGGCACATTTGATAGTTGAGTCTGCGGAGCAGGTGTTTCTTGATAACTACACTAGTTGGAGGCTGATCGAGGCCCGAAGCGAACCCAACGTCATATACATCGCCAAATTCGCCGATATCAGAAAAATCGGGAACGCCCTGTTCCAAACACACGCCTCCGTCGTTGGTTAAGATGAAAATCTTTTGATTCCTAGAATTTCATAATTTCAGATTCCAACAACACAAGAAAAATAAATAGTGAACCGCCCGGTGTAAGTATAGATCACCAGACAAGTTGAGGCTCCTGTTTTCTGCTACAGTTTTAGTTAGAACACCAGACATTTGGATGATGGATAGCACAAAAAAACAAACGAGGAAAGCTTGATGAGGCGAACAAGACAAGAGCTGAGCTAAGACAGTTGGCAAGCAATCGGCCACCACGTCCAAATCCTAAATGTCATCACCCTGACGCCCCATATGATACGACTCCCCTTCTTCCTGTAACCTACTTTGACTGTAACCCTCCAACCTCCCTTCTCAGTCTTCCCCTCAATTTATCCGTTCCATGTTTTCATCTCTCTTGTCATCATTGTCATCTAAGACAAAAACCCTCATTCATTTTTAAACCCAAAAAAAAAAAAAAAAAAAAGTGCCCTGTAGCACCCTCATGAGTCATGCCATATTTCAGTCCAATTAACTTGCAAGTTGGAAGCTATTGCATACTGGTAGTCATTAACACACACAACTGAAGATGACGAGGTCGATGAAACCGAGAAATGAATAAACTTACGTCTTTGACGTCTTGTTCATTCAGCATCCCCTTCTTCAACATGGTCGCTGCAACATAGACTGCAAGGCTGACTTTCTTTGGGAACTTGTAAGTTGCATCCGTGACATTAAGCCCTCCGGCGCTGTGGCCTACCAAAATCACCTGCATTAAGTTAGAAGCCATAAGTACACTTATTAGAAGTCAAACAAATTAAGGCCCTCGGATTCTGCTAATCAATGAGTTCTTGATAATCACTTGCTATATATCTTTATGAAGTAATGTTCCCTTGGCTTGGGAAGGAAAGATGCATGTATTCAAAAAGGGTCAAGTACCTGTTCATCGCCGGGCAAGGCTGCCAAGAAGTCCAGGAGAGGCTGGTTGTAGTCTTGAAATGAAAAAATGGTATTGGGATCGGTTTGATCCAGGCCAGCACCTTTGAGGTCAATACAGGAGACTTTATACCCGGAATTCTCCATCAAGCATCTGATCTTATACCAGCACCATCCACCATGACTTACCCCATGTACCAGCACAAAGTGTACTGGCTTCCGCTCCTGCTCATGACTTTTCGTTGCCCTATGTTGATCACCTCCGTTTTCTTGGTCTCTCCTTTTTTCTTCTTCCACCCTTTCTCCCATGGGGTACTTCTAGTTCTAGCTAGATTATTATTTTTCCCCTTGTGTCGACTCTCTCTCTCTCTCTCTCAAGTCTGAACTAATATGTCTCCTCACGTCTCAATTCTTGATGGAATGTTACAACTTATACAGTACTAAATAACAAGTAACCATCTGGTCGTTGGATTATTTTCAGTCTGCGTTGTCCTAATTCGGTTGCCTTGTATGGCTGGTTTCTATTGGCAAGTGTCTTGTAATGCCGTATTGCTGTTGGTGGAGGTGGAGGTGGACCAGTTCAAAACCATAGGTTTTA